CCTCTTTAAAAATGAACGTCTACTAAGGTCAATAATGCCATAGGGACCGAAAAGCGGATAATAGATATTTCTGCCTCGCACACTATATATCTGCACGACGCGTATAATCTATTCTTCAAGCTGTACCTACAAAAGTATTTCGAATTTCGGTCTAAAATTTTACGAATATTTTCTGAGAATAATACTAATGATTGAAATAAAAAAAAAATTAAAAATTTTGACCTTCTAAACTAGGTTCCTCCCTTAAGCATAACAGATTGAATTTTCTAATAAAGGTCACTGTAAATATAGCTTAGCATTCAATGATCTCGCTCATTTGTACGTAAAATTTATATGTCAATAACATTTTAGGTTTAATACGATTTCTACATAATTATTAAAATAAAAAAGATGTAGCATATAAAGATTTATTTTAAGTTATCGAAAATTCGATAAAAAAATTTATGATGTTTTTTCTCTCATTCAATCTTATTGTTTGTGAGATTATTTCTTTAAATGATATATATGTAACACAATTAATATTGTTTACTTAAAATAACTTATTTGCATTATATGACATTCAGACGATTGAATTATATAAAATGTAAAAGAACCTTATTTTTCGTATTATTGAGAAATGATTACGAATTTACATCCATATGATAATGGTGACACTTTATGATCTATAATCGAAATCTCCGCACGATAAAATGTTATAAAATGTTTTAAATAAAATGTTACAAATTATACAATTATATATAATTATACATACTGGTGCGAAAATTAAAAGCTGTAATTAATCTAGTTTTATTGCTAAAATAAATATTATTGATAAGCATTATATCCTAGAATGTACACAACAAAATTATGATCAAAAAAATATATTTGGAAATAAACTTTATAATACTCTTAGGCATAGACGTATTCGGGGGGGGGAGAAGGGAGGTGGGAGGTTTAGGGGTTTAAACTCTTTTCGAAATTTTTTATTCATTCATTTTTTTTCATTTTGAGAGGATCCCATTAGCGCACATCCTAATAGCACACATCCTGTGATAATTCACATCAATCGAGGGGGGAGGGGTGCCTAATAATTTTTCACTGCTTTAATAAGAATATTTTATTTTCAATTGATCAATTAGTCATGTACATATATTCTATCGAATTCTTTTCTTTTATTTTTAAATATAAAAAACATACAACTTTACTTTTGACTTTGTGTGAATTTTTTGCTGTTACATAAAATATTTTTTTCTTCTCGTTATGAGACCATATAAATAATTTTGTGGGAATGTGTGACTCTATGGATAAGTCAGATTCTCTTGACAAGCCCACGCTTGTCGTGTGATGTGATAAAGAAAATAATAATCGAGACTTTATTTGTAACTGGTAATAATAATATTTATTTCACGAGCACAATTTTATATGACCGTACAGGACGAATGCCTCTATTGATCTGTTATTATAATTTTTCTTTTTTTATTATTTTTACGCTGCTAGGCAACTCGCTACCTACATAATCTTTAAGCTTTCTACACTCGCTGCGCTAGTGAAGTATTAAGAATTCCCCACAATTTTTAATACTTCTGTTAGTTCGAGCTTTGACAAAATATGCGATATATAAGAAAAATTTTCGTAAGATTTTTATCTCGAAAAACAGACTATAATTGATACATTCAGTACTACAATCGCTCATTGAGCGCTCAGTGAGCTTTTGCACTATTTACTCTATTTTTTTGATACACCTGTTCGATCAAATGTTTGGATCTAACAGAATAAATCAATGAAATGCAAAAGCTCACTGAATGCTGAACTGCTCAGAACTGTGTATTAAATACAGAGTATTCCATTCGACTAAATTCGATTAAAAAATTCATTAACATAAAAAAATTATTGTAAATGTTGCACAAAAACGAAATTAATGTAGTGACGTTCTTTTTAATACAATTATAAAATCTCCCTTTTCTCATTTCGATTGGCGCATGGCACATCCCTAATGAAAAATTTTCCCGAAAAAAAATTCCACGAGGCCCATGTTTTAAGTGATTTATTTTAATATTGATACTGTCGCCTGGATAAAGTGTTACAACAAATTCGATTGAACGCTCAGATAGTGCGCATTGGTGAACATGCATAAGCCGTACATGCATCGTACACAAAATAACATAAAAATATGTTTATAAAATAAACAAAGAAATCGATTAATCTTGAAATATTCAATATATTTTATTGTACTATTAGATAAAATATGTATTTCATAATTCGAAATATTTGCATTTCATTTTTATACTCAAATTAAATCAGTGTACAATGATTTTAATATGTACCAGTACTTCCAAACGAATTTGCTATTAGTTTATTCAGTCAATCACATATAAAATTTATAAAATGTAATTGATTACGCGTTGTAATGTCAATTCGACAAAACATGTTCGCTCGTTTTATTTTATTTTATTGAAAAAATTTCTACTTTTAATATATGATGAATTTTGCTTTCTTGACTTTTGGATATCTGCTCGTGTTTTTATGTCTTTATTAAAAAGGTCACATTCGACATACTATCAAAAAATTGCGACGAAAATAGCGTTTTTGTAATAAACAATATCATATAATTATCATTATTTTAAAGAGGATGACTTAAATAATCTAAAGTCAAAACATTCTTTGAATTTAATTATAATTAAATATATTCTCGCTTTAAAAAAAACTTGTGTTTGACTTCTATGATCTTGAATGATTTTCCTAATATTGGGTTATCTAAAAAGTATCCGCGGTTTTTTGTCACTAGATGGTGTTGATGGTCATATATCGGGCAACACTAATTCGATTGTGTCAAACGAACGCGCGTCTGAAAGATGACATTTTAGGTTACATTTTTTGTAAACAAAGTTTGGTGATTCATCAATCGTGTCAAAAGTTATATTGGTTTGAAAATGAGTGAAATATTTGAAGAAATACGCTATGTGATGCTTTTTTACTACAAAAAAGGCAAAAACGCAGCACAACATGCAGACAAATTTGTGAAATGAAGTTTACGGCGCGGATGCTATAAGTGAACGCAGGACGCAGCATTGGTTTGATTTCATTCTGGAAATTTTGATGTCAAAGATCGACCTCGCTCTGATCGGCCAGTCACTGAAAAAGTCGATGAAATTTTACAACTGGTCAAGCAAGACCGGCATCAGGAGAGCTATCAGGAGATAGCCAATGCACTAAGAATCAACCATATGACAGTTTGGAATCATTTGAAAAAGGCTGGCTACGCAAAGAAATTCGATGTTTGGGTGCCACATGAATTAATGCAAAGAAATTTGATTGATCGAATTTCCATCAGCGAAACACTACTAAAACGCAACGAAATCGACCCATTTCTGAAGCAAATCATCACAGGCGATGAAAAATGGATGAAATATAAGAATATTGTTCGTAAAAGATCATGGAATAAGCGCGGCAAACCACCACAAACGACTTCAAAGCCCGGATTGATGGCAAATAAGGTGATGCTGTGTGTATGGTGGGATTGGAAGGGGGGCGTC